AGGCAGGCAGATTTACTTCTGAAAAGTAACAGAGATAGCTCCAACTTGACACTCTCTACTTGTAAAGTCAGATGGCTAGATCCCTTTAAAAATAAAAAGTTTACAAACCTCTTTAGCCGAGTGGCGAATGTTACATTTTTCACAGAATCTAGCACTGTACCAGGGTCGGTTGATTGGGGTTCGTTTATGTTTTCCATTACAATTATCACAACGCATTAAATTAGACGCCTGAAAATAAAACATACATGGTTTCTCATCTGTGACCAATTTTTCTAAACTTGAAAATTGGCCGAGAGTTCTCATAACAGACCAAGGGAAGTACCAAAGGCAATGGTGCAAAGATTGCAAGCTGAAGAGTTGTCAAGAGGAACCCTCCAATATCCGCAAAATGTAAATGACAATCCTATTAATAAGTTGTAAAACTTTTTGAAATATGAGTTCCTCATTTATCTCATGACAAACCTAGGGATGTGCAAAGATAGCAAGCTTAAGAGAAGTCTAAAAGTTGGCAAATTGGAAATTTATGTACATTTCTTACCATCGTGTCCAAACCACACCCTCATTAGTAATACGACCTTGGGGCAGTGGTAATACAAGTTTAATATGGGTTGATACAATAATGTTGCCACACCTGCTAAATATCAGTCCATTCTCTTGATCTGGTGACAGAAAATCATATGAATCTTACCTCATGTATTTTTTCTTGTAATTTGGTGAGTAAGTCAGCGAATTCTTTCTGAAATATTTAAGAAAGAAAAAATACTCAAACTCAGTCAATCTGGTTTGCAATTTATAATATGAGACCCAAAGTAAAGCAATATGAAAGCCTTATAACAATTTCAGGTTCTACATTACATTCTTTGATTGGATAAAAGTAACGTCATTAGAACAGGAATTTGTAGAAAACTTGTTAGATTACAATGGAGAGGAAATTATCAGAAAAAAAGTAAGAAATGAAATTTATTTAATTTGATTGGTTACATCCTTACCATAGCAGATTCAGCATCACTTTCTTCTTTTGTTTTAGCATCAAATTGTAACCTTTTCGTCTGTAAATAAAAAAAATATAATTTTTTTAAATTCACATTTTATTTTTACAGTATCAAGGCACAAAGGATGTATCAAAATTTTCATCAAATTAAAGAGAAAGCATCAAGACATATCTACAGGTTGCAGAGGACAAATATATTGCATTATGTTTGTTCACGAATTCTTCAATAATATATAGGCCTATGGTAATAAAAATGTAACTTACTGGCTCTCCTATCATTTCAAAAGCATGTCCTAATATTTTAAATGATTCTTCAGCACCTAATTCTTTATTCTGAAAAACATAAAAACAACAACTTCAAGCAAGAGTATTATACACCATAACATTCCTTTTAAATATCATATAGATATTTCACAATATACAAAGTTAATTGGTAAAAACTTGATGTTAACTACCAATTGAAATTAATAACTTCTTTATTTCATACTAGTAGCCCAACAAATCTTACCCTATCAGTTCCTCAGACATGTTTGTCACAGGGATATCCTGTAATATTTCTTACCTTATCAGGGTGGACAAGAATGGCCTGTTTACGGTAATATTTCTTACCTTATCAGGGTGGACAAGAATGGCCTGTTTACGGTAATATTTCTTACCTTATCAGGGTGGACAAGAATGGCCTGTTTACGGTAATATTTCTTACCTTATCAGGGTGGACAAGAATGGCCTGTTTACGGTAATATTTCTTAACTTCTTCATCAGTCGCATCGGCACGTAATCCTAAAATACTGTAAACAAAACAGAATATTTTAATTAACAGTTTTGTTACATAAATCTTAGAAAGAGTTAAAGAATTAGTTTTCAGATTATATATTATGATAATGTTTAATTATTTACTAATTTCCATTTTAACAGATAACATTAGTTTTAACACTGTGACAGTGCTTTTTATCGAAAAGAAGCCAGACTTTTGAGCTTACAACCACCCTAAACTCTATATTTCTCTATGTGAACATATTGACGATGCAGTGAGTTATCTAACTAACTGATTGAAAAATTGCTAAAAACGTAAATCAAGTGAAAAACTGGAATTACTGTGAAATATAATGAAATATAGCTTTTAGTCTTGATCCAGAGTGGGAAAGATTAATAATGCCAGACAGTGTACAATAAAAATATGCATTAATTCATGAATATTCATGAAATCTTTACCTGTACGGGTCCTTCCCTTTACATGATAATAATCTTTTCATAGCCTCTTCTCCTACAAAATAATAGCAAAATACAGAAATACTAGAAATGTATGAAAATCACATAATACTTAATACTAGGAATTTCTCTTCCCATTTCTATATGTCTTTTATATATATGGAAGTTTTGCGACTTTTTAACTTCCAAATGCTGATAATCCTTGACATACATGGATTTGAAGGCTCAAATTTTGACGGTGAACTGTGAACACTGTTACTTATTAGCTTAGACTACGGTATGAAAAAAGCTTTGAATAATTTTAAAAGTATTATTACCTGTGGTGGGTAAAATGATATTTTCTTCTAAACCAATTTTACGTTTCACATTGTCAGCTCCTGTTTGTTTATATGTAAACTTATTAGAGAAGAATTTAAGGCTGCACCAATTCCATACTTTAACCCCTACTACACCTATTATATGAACACACCAAAATACTCTGAAATACATAAATGACGGGGAAGGAGTTAATAAAGGCTTGCAATGATGAATTGCAAAAAGCTTGCTTGAAAAATCTGGCTCTACTTGTTCATTGGATGCGATATCTACACAGTTTTGCCAGACTCAAAAAGTCACTTTTTATGGGAGCAAAATTCAGGACAATGTGAGACATTGCTACACAGCTGAACCATGAATGATTCCATCAAGACATTGCCAGATATTCTACAATGTCTCTTAGGGATTTGATCCCTGGTACTCAACCTGGGATGTTTTCACCCCCTGGGGTGTGGCACTGGGATGTCGGGGTGTGAACTACTGTTGTGTAGGAGAAGTTTTTTTCGGGGTAGTGAGGGGGGGATATCATATGGTTCCAAAGAAAACAGCAACAGCCTTCCCACTGAGCATCGTATTGTGGCCGCGTGATTATATATCCCTTATGATTAGTTTGAATAGAAATTATAAAATTTACAATGTTTTGAATGTCCATTGTTTTGGGGGGGTGTGAGGGCTTCAAATGATTACTCCAGGGGTGTGAAGGCTGAAAAAGGTTGGGAACTACTGTTGTATATACTTACATATACATGAAGACACCAAATATATAAACTAAAACTGTCACTAATAATGATAAAATATATTTTACTCCATTTTTAAATTTCTCTGCTATATTGTTTACATATTCATCTGGAATTAGACAAAACAATTACAAAACATAATTATTGGAATATTCTTGAAAAAATATCGTTTCTTAAACCATGTGTAAGCTTATATCCAAAAAATATATAGATCTATATCGTATAATCTCTATTTAAAGGAACAGGTGTGCTATTTTGGGAAGTTGATTTTAGTCATGAATACATGCATATATATGATCTAGAATTGAATAATTTAGACTGTATTTATTAATTGAAAGTTGTTATTGTATATCATATAATTATGGTTATTAAACTGAAGTAATTAATTGCATAATGACTCATTGAATAGATATTAATTGCTTAAAAATCCACTTCACCTATAAAATAACCTTTTTTATAGTTTTATGTCCTACATTTTGGGGAATTTAGACAGGTCACACCAGGCTGGGATGTCTTAAAATGACCTTGGTCAGCAAGTCCACTATTCCATAATTAAAGATGGGTTTCCTTATTTTTTAGTGTCAATGTAAGCAAACCATTTGATTAATTGGCGTTTCTAATGAATTATCACGTATTCTTGATCATATCATTATGTTCTTATTGCATATAATTAAGAGTTTTAACCAATAAGAAATGTCCATGTCTGTACAGTCTGGACAAAAAAAAAAGGGCTTTTTGACCTTTCTTGATCGGCCACTCATTGGAATTCTGCTGGTAATTCTCTTCTAATTTAGACCATTATGAATTATGTGAGACAAACTGGTATTTTTCCAAGTCATTAGAACACCTTTACTTTCTATTCATATAAGTATTAGCATTTTCATTTTCTTAAATGAAAATAATTCAATTGATATAAATAACAATGAAATATGTCAGTATTGAAAACCCATGAAAACAAACATTTAAATCACTAGATTTTACCAATACCTTCAATTGAATAGCAACCTAAAACACATCTCTGTATTCTATTTTGATCTAATGGAATGCTTACCCTGCCTAATCAGTATTTTATATCTTTTTTTCCTCCTGGGTATGGTATATTTGTGATAATTTCTCTTCTTCATTGATAATTCAATAAGCACATATAGAAACAACACCTTGATTTTTACTAAGTGATGTTTGAAGTTGTATGCCTTATAATGGCATGAATGACATGATCATAAGAATTACAAATAGGCCTAGTCTTATATTATTTTTAGAATTAACGTTTACATTTCTAGGAATTTATAAAAGTACTTTCTTTTCTTCAATAAAAAAATTAATATTGGAAATTCAATCTTACATCATATCAATAAATAGTAACATCTTGCCACTTTTATTTTTTTTGTGATCATATGTTTATATGTTTCTTATGAATAAATAATTGTATTTAGCCTTAACACGCCCTTTTGCATTCATTTGGTCTTTAATTCTTACGTCAAATTACGTCTGGGTATGCATGATCTTATCTTGATGAGCATCGATTTTGTATGGACAAATTTTTGTTCCCTTTTGTAATCAAGATATTATTATTATTATCATCATTATTATAATTCAAATATGAATTAAAATCATACAATTTTTTTACTCATATTGACTGCAAAAAATACAACTTGAGACAAAATTTATCGCTTCATAATTCTAAATCTTCAATGATAACAGCAATCTGGCACTGTACGAAAAATTGAATAAAAACCAAAGAAACTTACCTATGGCTTCCCAGTCAAAATTGGGAGAAGATTTTTTCACAGAACGTCCATTAGGTGTTTCTTTCTTCTGAGTACCATGGGGTTTATTTTTCTCAGATTGGGCACCATTTTGAGTAACAGGTTCGCTGAATACTTTCTTTTCTTCTTGACTAGATGCTGTGTTCTGATTGGTTCTCTTTCTCGGATCACGTAAATCGTTATTAATGTAATCAGCTTTCTTATGCGCGGCAGAATTCGGCTTGGTTGTAGATGGCTTCCCATTGTTTAAAATCGTATCAGCTTTGGGCTTCTCTTTAATGTCTGCCTTCTTCTTATTTGTTTCCTTAGGTGCAAAAATTCTTCTTGGATCAAAAAACTTCCCAGGCTTTTCTTTCTGAGCTGAAGCAGATTTTTTCTCAATCTCTGGGTCTTTTTTCGGTTCTTCTTTTCTTTCAAATTCTGGACAAACTTCATTTTCTTTCACAGCTTGTATTTTGAATGTTTTTGGAAAATGAACATCTTCGATGCCTCCACTAGTTCCACTACTTAGGCTACTTGTACTTCCTTGACGACTACGGTACGACAGACTCTCATTGCTACCGCCTAAAATACTGGATCTATCACTTCGTGATCCGCTGTCAATATCTTCAAATTGATCCAATCCATATTTGGAATCAGGGGATACCACATTTCCAAAATTTCCATCTGTATCATTATGTTGTGATCTTGCTGATTGACCCCTTGATGTTCCAGATCGCTTTGATTGCTGTCTTTGTGTTTTACCAAGACCCTCCGTAGGTGACTTGGACTTTGGAATCTCTCCATCTTTATGCATAGGTTTATTTTTCAATGACTTAGCAATGTCTGAATATGTGGGTTTTCCAGACTCCTTTTTGTCTTGAACCATGGTTGGTTCTTGCATCATGGTAGGCTGAGGTGAAGATGGATGACTGGATAAATCTGGACTAGGAGGGTTAGGAGGAAACTGGTTGTACTGCCTGGCAGCTACTTCTTGCTGATACTGCTTAATCGCCTCTGCATATAATTCTAGACTTTCTGCCCCACTCATTGGTGGTGTAGGGTACAGAGGTCTCTGTATCGGTGAACCAACTGCAGAAGGACTAGAATTGGACATATTTTCATTCTGGATATATCCAGAGTCGTCTGAGGCACTGCTTAAAACATTAGAGAGTCCGTAAGGATAGTCTGAAGAAAAGATCGAGGGTAACTGTTGATTAGTAAATGCATTAGTCGGGGTTGAGGTGTTCAGAGTCTCCCATGGAAAAATACCAGTAGATGCAACAGGACTGCTCGGCATTCCACTAAATGGAGTCCAGGATTCTGTGGGTTGTGGTACAGGAATATTGGATCTGTAATTAGTTGTGACATTGGACGGTGCAGTAGGGTGGTGATTCGGAATCAATGGAACACCACGCCCATATCTCCCCTCGTCCACACCTTCAGCCATCTTATACAACCTAAAATACAAAATAGAACAGACTTAAACAAGTTGTTTCAATATTCCCTTATTTCAGCTCACAGACTAGGGTCATTTGGGACCAATTACAGCAGATAAGGTCTGGAACTTTCAAACTCTTATATTCTCTTATTTGGACAGATGGTTACCAAAGTCTTATTCGAATACAAAAAATATTTTAATGAACTACACATAGAAATGCAGTGATATGGTTCAATCCCATAAAATTGCTAAAAATTACCAATTTCATCCAAGAGCTAACACTACTCAACTGACAAAGGTTTTCTATGTCAAGTTTCTGGAAGGTTAGCATATGGCGAAGGTTGGATTAAATTTGGCTAGGAGACCTTCCTTGCTGTCCTAGGGCTCAGTCTGTTGACTGTTTATTAATATAATGCAAAGGCATAAGCACTAGCCTAACCTAATTTAGAATTGGAATCACAGCATTTTCACTTAGTCATGTCTTGCAACATATAATCAGTATAATCATAATTTATAAGCTCACAGAAAAGTCGATCCAGATCTACATCAACCTAGCGAAAGCTAAAGCAGGGAGGGGTATTGTAATGACCTGAGGGATGGGGCAGGTGGATGCTTATTAGCCTTCATTCCAATCCTAATTTAGCTCCAAAATTTTGTGGCACTCAGTTCAATGAATCATTCCCGGTAATGTGTATCAGCCAGCTGGCCATTGCAAACCTGGTTAGCGGCTTAGAGAAGGGGGTGAACAGCAAAATTATCAGTTGGTAGTTACGATAAAACAAAAAGACCAAACATGGTAATAAAATACAACAAACATACAATAAACTTCAGCATGGAAAATAGTTGTCAACTCGAAATCTCGGTCATTACGAGATTACATGAGATTAGTAGACAGGATCTTCCAGACTCTCCATTTTCTATCAGTCAAAGTGGTCCGTTGCTGAGAATTCTATTTTCAATATTGAATTAAAATGCAGTATTAGGGAGTAGTGTTAAGTCCAGTTTTCTGGTTTAGTATTAGGGGATGAATTATTCTTACCTTGAGGGGGATTCGAACCAACGGCACCTAATCGTCTCTGAATCTGAATGTGTACGTCTGTGGACCTGTTACAGCATGTATACGCGACGGGGAGAGAGTGCTTAAAACTTTGATGAAATAAAAGAGCTGTGCAGACGAAAATCTAACCCGTTACTGACTGAACTATTTCACTGCTTTGGTCTGGGCTATTGAAGACGGACTTTCCGATATCAAAACAATGTTTTAAGCACCTAATCTTGTTCAAATCAACTTTCATATCACAGACGTATACAAATTTTGTTTAATATCAGCTTCAGGAAAAGAAATTCGTTTGCTGAAATTAATCGGCATCATAATATTATCATCTATTGGATATTAGGATCACCAATTATGACATTGTATAGCTTTCTAAACAAAAAGGATATACTTAAAAAAATGTGCGTGCGATTATCCTCTAAGCAATTTAAACAGTATTCGGTCAGGGTCGATTAAAACGTCAAAGTTTCAAACCAAATTATTGATAATGCAACAAAATCGGTCTGACGTTCAAGAATTAATAATTGTTTTTAATAATGTGATGTTGACATGAATCAACTGGATAATCGTGTCTATTATTTTTCAACTTTCGTTTTATTGCCTTATAAGGAGATCACGTCTTGAATTGAATGAAATCAGCAACGGACCTTATATAGCTCGGGTTACTTTAGATAAGTCTTGGCCAAGAGAAAGAAAGGGCGTAAAATTATCAACCGATTTTCCTTTTTCGTAGATTTTTTTTCTATAGATTCCAACCTTTTTCTACATGTTTAGTGATATCAGTGTCATATGAATGAAATACTTTTTATAAAGTATCTCCCTCTAGTCTCCGAGTGAAATACTTTTTATAAATTGACTCCCTTTAGTCTCCGAGTGAAATATTCCCAGTGTAATGTTCTTTATAAATTATCTCCCTCTAGTCTCCCAGTGTAATACTCTGTATGAATTATCTCCCTTTCGTCTCCCAATGAAATACTCTGTATGAATTATCTCCCTTTAGTCTCCAAGTGAAATACTTTTTATAAATTATCTCCCTCTAGTCTCCCAGTGTAATACTCTGTATGAATCATCTCCCTTTCGTCTCCCAATGAAATACTCTGTATAAATTATCTCGCTTTAGTCTCCCAATGTAAAGCTCTATATTTGATCAAGATTGAATATGAATGCAGTAGATTATGTGATAAGGGTAATTCGTTCTTATTTGTACATTGTATTGTGGAGTCTTTCATTTCAGTACTAAATGCCTTTCCATTAAATATACCAAATAATCGTGAGTTGACAAACAAAGTTGCAAAGTGGTATCTGTATTTTGGAAGAGTAGACAAAACCTTCCTTGCTAATGCTCCTCAACAGAAGCTTTTAATTCGTTTTAATGCACTGAAAACTCATTGTCCCAGCAAATAAAACACTGTGTGAAATATACAGTAGTTTATCACAGATATGAAGATTATTATAATAATAATACTGATTGATATAGATAACAATATATAATAAAAATATAGCCAACATAGAAAAATACATTATCACAGTCTAAATAATTCTAGCTTGGAATAGTTCAAAGTCTAACTTTTAATTCCTCAAAACCATGTAGTTTCTACAGGCCACTCAAACACAATAAGGTGTCGTATAAACCATTGGCTTGCAGTAGACAAGAAACTGTAAGAATCAAATTTCAGATCTTGGATCTAAGAATATAATAATATGTAAATGGTCATCTCTAATATGTTCAGGTGCAACAAGCATTAGTCACTAAGATATGTTCAGCAGTATGGTTACTATGGTATCACTATAGTGATGGTTGTTAAGAAATGTTCAGCAGTGTGGTATTTGTAATATTGTTTATAACGTGCAATGCAGTTTGGTATCTTTAGTAACTAGTAATAGAATTGTTTTGACTTTGTGGAAACTATGGCATCAAACAGTGGTTTCTTGGGAGTATCAACTAAGTCACAGACTGATTATTGGTAAGTGTTCAGAAGTTTGGTAACTACGACATCAAGTAATGGTTGCTAGGGAGTGTTCCAAGTAGTCGTGGAGACGGTGAGGGGCGAATTGTAGATGGATAATCGGAGAGACTGGGAAGCTCTGGTAAGTCTGTTGAACTATAAGCACTGCCTGAAAAACACACAAAATTTTAACAAGATATTATAAAAGAAAGAAAGAAAACAAGAAAGAAATAGCCATTTTTTATTAGCATAATAACTCAGGCTCATGATGATCCTTCTACCTGCTAGACCATGGCCAAACCTCTTGGCATTGTACTGTCCTGGAATATCCATACCCATTAACAGCTGGATTGACTTCTGCACATTATTCCATAGAGTTTGCAATGAGGGAAGAAAAACTCACCATATTCATAAATTGAAACAGGAGTTAAAGCTACAAGCATCTGAGATTGCCTGAAAAAAAATTTAAAAATATATAAATTTTTCAGTCAGATCAGGGGCCCTTTTCACACGATTTTGAATGCAGTTGTCTAAATTTTAGAATTAGAAAACAAATAATAATTTCTCTCTATCATGGAGAAAGTTTACACTGAGAAGAAGACAATTTGTTTCTTTTGTCAAAACAGTTTTAGCTTATAACACCCTATCAAGGTTCAGAAGGCTTTGCATTTCTTTTCAAACCTATTAATGTTTTTGGTTGTCAAGATGAGAAATTAACATCTTACCTTCCTGATCTAGGTACCATAGCAGATTTTGGTCGTCGAGCAAGTGTCTGGGGTAAGCCCTCTTTCCACCCTGGTACATGGCCAGATTTTGGACGATTTCTTGTCATTTCTTTGTGAACGTCACGCCCCCCGGCTAACCAGTTATTGGCCCTGGTGATTCGTAACTCTAGTTTGTTATTATTCATACCTCTATTTACTGGTGAGGGAGGGCGTTGGGGAGGAGGCTTCTCTATCTGGGTTTTTCCTGAAAACCAGACAAAAAATATTAACACCAAAGTGGCTGTCAACTACAAAATCCAAAATATGAATAACTACAAACCAAGCAACTCAAAACTAAGATTTTTTTTCATAACTATTGCTATTTTCTTACTTCATGACCTAGGCCAGCGCTTTAAAGTTTAAAGTTAAAGCGAGGTAAAAACTGGATGCCTAATGTAGATAGTTGATTAATGAAGGGCATGCAGTACCATTTTACCAGGTTCTCCGACTTCAAAGCAAAAACCCATAGATATACTAGAATAACAGACAGGCAAAGATGCCAAATAAATTATGTTACATTGGATTATCCCAAATGCTAATGGTATCGGCAATCTTACCTAAAATTTTCAAATCTGTTGTTCGACTCTGAAAATCTGATCTATACCTGTTACCATGACGATATTTCAATGGAAAAGATGGCTGCTGAACAAATGTTTTGTAAGCATCTACAGCACTGAATGGTCTGGTTTTTATTGGTTGTCTGAAAAATATTTTTTTTTTATAAAACAAACCGCAAAATAACAACTTACACATTACCCGTATTTGTAATGAAACGTTCTGGAGACACTGTTTCTGATCTAACTACTGAGAGCCGCGGTGGCTCAGTGAGTTAGACGCTTGCTCGCTAAGCTGGGGGTCTAGGGATGCATCTAGTTGTTCAGATGGGACAATAAACCCATGCCGCTGTCCTTGCAAAATTTCCCTCATTGCACCCTGCATGGCGTTGACCGTCTTCATTAGCCCACATGGTGCAGAAAAGTAGGACGTAAAACTCCAATCATTTCATTTCTGATCCAACTTCTATGCTTTTGAAAGTGGATTCAGTATTGATTAATTACCCCTTCCAAATAGTAAAGTGCTCTTTTTTATGTCATTGGATTGCACAATTTTCTATGTTGATCCCCAAGACACTTTGACAGATAAACTTCGGTACATGCACTATTACCAACAGATACTAAGTTAAATTTATGAATTAGTAGCTGAACATGTATGTTAAACATAAACAAAATTATCAAATTACCTGCTTATTTCAGTTTTTTCACTCTTCCCTTTTTTCCCACTCTTTGGTTTGAGTGTGTCTGATTCCCGACTTCTAGCAGACTCTGAATCTTCAATCTCAAATTTTGGAATTTGAACCTGGATTTCTGTGTAGATTGGAGACTTTTGGTCGGCTGGAGGTTGAGAATTTGACAGACTCTGATGCGCTGAATAAGGACGATAGGACACTTTCTCTTTAGATAATTCATCATGTCCTAGAGCTGAATGTGGTCTCGTTGTATTTTCGTTGTTAAGAACTAGTTTGTTGGTTTGACTCAAACACATAGCACATGAATCTTTATCAGAAATTGGCTGCTTCTGAAAAAAAGGTGAGATAGCGTTTTACATTTTACTGTTTCCAATGCTGTAGTGCAATCCATGTTAAAATGTGACAAAGAGATGTCTGGTAGGATTAGAAATATATGTCCGTAGATGAAATAAATACGATTATAAAGTTACTCGTCATTTCATTAGTTATATATTTGCCTCCATTACAGGCTTGGTTTGAAATCAATGCCATGTGGTATGCAATGAAAACAATTCTAACTTAGTCACTAGACAATAACTAGTTTTCATTTAAAGATGGGTTCTCTTATTTTCATTAATGAAAATGAAAATGCTAATACTGAAAATGAATTTAAAGTAGAGGTCTTACATGTTCATAATTAATTCATAATTGGCTAAATTAGAAGAGAAATACCAGCAGAATTTCAATGAGTGACGGATCAAGAAAGGTCAAAAAGTCTTTTTTTGTTTATCCAGACTGTACATACATGGACATTTATGATTAAATGATATGATTAATCACATGCACTAAGAACATAATGATATGATTAAGAAAACATAATAAATCATTAGAAACACTGATTGATCGAATAGTTTGCTTAATTTCATACTAAAAAATAAGGAAACCCATCTTCAAGCTTAGCAAGTTCTTTTATCTTTTTAAAAAATATAAACTGTAGATCTATATCATGTTTACAATAAATAGTGAACAGGCCTCATTTATATCAACACCAAAAATTTGAATTAAAATCATTTCAGTTCAATTGTTTAACTTTAAATCCCACTAAAATAAATGGCAACCCTATAAACTATTCTTTGTTAAGTATTTTATTATTATTAAGTAAGAGCTGTTTTTCTTTGATTGAACAAAACTCATAACAAACTAAATACTAGTATCACCTAGTAAGAAATATGTAGCCAATTCTATTCAATTCTATTTTTCTATTGTTCTTTATCTATTCATGCCATTTTATGTCATTTAAAGGGAAAACTTCGTCTACTCTTTTCCTTTATCAGCTGAAAGAATTTATTTCAGGGGATTTGAACCTAAAGTACACATAGCAGTAGCAAAATGGTGGCAAATACAGCAAATAGCTCACTTTAGAAATGATGGCCAAACTGTAGAGAAGTGTCTTTATTTTTCAAATATATATTCAAAATCCACCCTGATCTCCTTTGCCTGATTTTAACTTAGATTGCTCTACAGCTTTGGCAATTAATGATCCACTTTGCCAGAGATTGAGCCACCATATTGACATTGTGGATCCAATTTCATTAGAAGTGCACCAGAAGTTTTTACTTGGAAGGATTGTAAATTGAAATGGTACAAATTGATGCTGTCCCTGATGCACATAAAAAGTTTAGAAAAAACCTCTTTACAATCCCTTTAATCATTCAAAGGTAAGGGACATTATCCCTTGCCCATGAAAGTCATACTATAATTCCAAACTATTAATATTATTCCTTACTAAAAATATTATACAGTATTGTGTGCCAAAAACAAATCTTATCTACTTCGAGAAAGTGAGAGTGTCTCTTTAAGCTCTCTAACCAATTGTCAAGCTATTTGTCCATATAAAGATACAATAGAAGTTTATTGTCAATAGTAATATTTTATACTGTCATAGTTTTATTGTTTATCAATAAACACAACTTTACATAGTCACATATTGGTCAACCTTCAGGCTTGTGTCATAACATTAGCCTACTATTACTTTAAACAACTGGGAATATAACAATTACCCAACCTGGAGGGTGTAAAGCAGCACAGTTAACATCGACATGGTAGCTTTTAGGCTTGTGTCATAAACTTAGGATAATCTTACTTTTAACAATTGGAAATATAGCAGTTAGCTAATCTAGAACGTGAAATATCGACAGTGCTTAAAATTATCGTAAATTTCTTACTTTTAACAATTGAAAAGATAACAGAATGTTTAAAGAACCTGCCAGTGATTATATATGATATTCTTTTGTAACAATACAATAAGGAATATAGCAGTAGGCCAACTTAGTGGGTGTATAGGATTTACCAAGGATTAATGAATAATTGCAGTTAACAGATAGACCTATGTCTTGTCCTCACTAAGAAAGAATTTCTTAAGAATAATAAATTGACCATATATATTGGGATCAAGTAGTTGTGAAATTTTAACTCCAAGCATTTTAGTTTTTTAATCTTTAATGTCCTAAAGACATCTGTGTTGGTGATTTTAGTGGATCCAAATTTTAGGAGAAAAATGTACAATTTACGACAGCTTTATTCTTTCAGTGCTTAGTTAAAAACCAATAAACTTGGTGTTTTTTAAATGATATCAGTGATTCAAAGTAAATAGAAATGAAGTCGTATGAAAAGATAGAAAACGATGCCGTAAACTGGTACAATAAAATTATTTATGGTGATGAAGTTCAAATAAAAAAACTTTTAAATAAACCATATAAATACTGGAGAGAGCTATGTAGCACTATAATTGGGACTGGAAATACATTACTACACATTGTTATTCAAAAATCTAAAAATGATCTTCTGAAATCATTTATATCAAAAGGCGTAGATATCTACACGCGAAATAAATACGGATTGTCTCCCCTTCATGCTGCGTTGCTCTACAACAATCTTGTTGCTGTTAAGATATTGAAAGATGCAGGAGCGAACGTAAATGAAATCGTATCTTCAAAGACTGGACAAACTTTACTACATAAAATGGTTTGGGCCAATCGCAGCCAAGCTGTTAAACTGTTACTAGATCAAGGAGCTGATATTAAGGTCAAGGACAAACTCGAGCAAACCGTGTTACATTTATGTGCGATGAAAAACAACCAATCGATGGCTAAAGTGTTGCTGCAGCGCGGCTCCGGACTGAATTCACAAGACAGACTCAAGCGAACACCACTTCTTCTAGCAATAATTTACAGAAATCAGGAAATCGCTAAATTTTTCTTGCACGAAGGAGCAGACGTGACCATCAAAGATAGACTGGGGACAACCCCACTTCACCAAGCAGTCGCTGAAAGAATGACAGAAATCACTAAGCTGATAGTCAGCAGAAACTCCATCAATGTGAACACCAAGGAAAAAATAGTAGGAAGAACTCCACTACATGTTGCTTGTGCCAAAAACTACCATCGACTAACAAGCATTCTTCTAGACCATGGAGCAGACGTGAACTTGACAACCTCTTTCAGAAAATCTCCTCTACATCTGACTGTTTTAAACGGCGATACAGATATGGTGCCAACTTTACTCAGTCACACACGCAACATAAACATGTTGTCACTAGGCAACAAAACAGCACTGCATAATGCAGTTGAAGGCGGCCATTACAACATAGCAAATCTGTTGATACAAGCAGATGCAAAGGTCAACTCTCACGATCTTCAAGGATTAACTCCCTTACACCATGTTTCGCGTCTCGGACATGTCGATTGTGCCGATTTACTCATTGAACATGGAGCACAAGTAAATAGTTCTGACTTTCGACAAAAGACTCCGCTACATCATGCAGCAGACAACAACCAAACAGATATAGCTAATACCTTGATCCGACACGGGGCAGACGTCAAGGTCCAAGATGAAGATGGACTGAATCCTCTGGACTATGACAAGACTGGAGAGTTACGTGCCCTTGTTACTAGGAAGTCTGCAAGACGAAGAAGGAATGCACAAATTGATAGAGACAACACAATGTAGATCTATAGACTGTGAGACAGAGATTATGTGTAGCATTATCAGTAAAAAAACACATGTTGGTATAAGCAAAGATACAGCAGGTTACGTTATATTTGGATAAAATAAATAGTCATAGAATCTATGCAGACTAAACATACATTGTGATGATTAATGAACTATCTAAGAATATGGCAGAGTGCTCGTGTTTTTGTTCTGAATCAGACTCAGATGAGCAGACTGTTTATTTTACATTTATTTTCTGAAAGATTATTTATGAATGCTATAATAATTCTATGCTGAAAGGCAAAAGAAAGTCACTTCTGAAAATATTGATAAAACTTAAGAGACACTGTCAGTTACCTGTTCTGTTGAAAATAAACTCATTTCACATTCTACTGCTTCTTTTAGTTGTCTTCAACTTCACTGACTTTCTCTGATGTCATTAGTTACTAACTTACTTATATAAGCATTTGAAAATAAATATTTGACCTATCTTTTGCCTTTCAATAGGCCTAGGCTTTTCAAATTTAATCAACTCACCTCCATCTCATTACTAGTAGAATTTTTTAACTCTGATTGCTCCGTGGGATCTTCTCGAAAGGAATCTAATGCCTTGTCAATGCAAGACTCAATCATATTGGTGATGTACTGATCTACATTATTTGTAGATGATTCCTAAAAAAACAAACATTTTTAAAATATATTTACAGACTCATTTAAAAAATGCAGAAATCTTTTGAGTTTGCTCATACATTTTAACAAATGATCACGCTAGCTAAGTAATGAAAACTAGCCTTTTTCAAATGCAACCTTATTTACAAGATAAGAATGAAAATAGCATCTTTCTATGATATTGAAATAGTGAGGTAATGAGTAAGGAAATCACTATACATATAGAAAAACTATTTCTGAATTTATCAACTCAACAATTCATGTTTATACATGCAGCACTGTAGAGAAATTTATTGCCTGTATCCATGTACATGTCAAATATAGAGTAAATATATTCCGAAATAGTTTTTCTATAAACATGAAAGCTTATATCTTTTGATTCCTAGGACAGACTAAGTTACCTGATCAGCTTCGTTGCCAGTTGTGATAAATACGCCTATGGGAGATTTGGTCTTCGAACTTGATGTTAATGCATTCACACTTCCAACATCTTTTAACTCTGTATTCCCAACATCATCATTTGACTTCTGCCTGACATCATCACCATGGTGACAACCTTGACCTTCAAGACGGGTATGATCTCCATTTTGAAAATTTTGATCTTCCCTTTCCTTCCAGTCAACCATCTTATGTGAACCTTCTGTCTGTCTGCCTTGTGACCGTGGTGATGAAGAACGTAGTGCTACGGCAGATTTTGGTCGCTTGCGGATGTCAAGTTTCAGATCTAATTTATCCTTGAAGACTGATGACAATGGTCTGGGAACTTTGTGAGTCTAAAAAAGAAATTTTATCATCTTGACTTCATGGTTGATTTTGTAGTTCGATAAATCAAAATATCAAATAATTATTATCAGCTATATGAACTCTCTAATAAAGGAGAGGTTACTATAGGCGATAGTCTCTTTCCTAATCCTATTATGTAAATAAATATTTTTGAACAAAATGATCTCTCTAAATGTTCTCTAAGTGTGTTTTATTATATAAGAATTTTCTTTAGTATGTCATATTGATCCTCGTTTCTAAATTTCATTTAAATTTAAAAGAAACAATTGCTTTAATTGCTAAAATTACCTTATTTGGTGCTGTGTGTGTTATTGCAGTAGTATACTGTCTAGGGGTGTATATCAATGGTTCTGTAGGTCGATAATTCCCAGCTCCAGACGCCAAGGGAAAGCACTCTGCTGGGGAATTGGGACGATATGTTTCATTAGAGGTTTCAGTTCCACCCTCTAGGTCTTGTTGAAATGATTCTATACTCTGAATGGTAAATCTAAAATTGAATTGAAGCCAATACAGGTGAAAATATCGATCTAACATTAGCCACATTTTACTAAGGGGATAGGAAACCACAAACTCCTAGAAAATTCTCTGGACTGTTTTAAATTGGGAGGGAACATTTTTGCCATATTCTTTTGCCTACAGGTAAACTATTTTTTTTAAAAGAAGAAAAACCCCCATCTTGGTTTTGTATTTATTTCAAAAGTTTGTCTAAAAATCATATGACACTTGTCCTTTTTTTAAATGTAAATTACTATATTGGCTATCTACTAACTTAATCCTAAAAATTCTGCATGGATTAAACTACAATACATGCATCTACAATCAAAATCCTACAATTCTTCACACAAACCTTAAGTCAGGCTTTCGTATTAAAAAGATACACAGGTAACTAAAATTAAGTTAGGCTTTTAAATAATCAATCAACAAAATTTACAAGCAATATGGCTACTAACAAATTATTTCTCAACTATCTACTCCTAATAAAACTCTTTAATCTACAACTATTTCAAAATACCTTCGCCTGTTTAAATCAACTTCACTAAAATAAAACACAAATAAAATAAAGCTTGAATATCCAAAGCGAATGTATTGAAAATTGTAAATAAAACACTATAAAGATAATGTTCATAACCATCAGTTCAAGTCAAAATATATACAACTTTTACTACATCAATATAACAACGATTCAAAGTTCACGTAAATTAAAAATCTACTTCTACATCTATTTTAAAATACCTTTGTCTATGTAGATCATTTTGGCTAAAATAAAGCGATTAGAAATAACAGGCTTAAGCTTTATAAGTCATAAGATTTTAATTGCAAATGCAAAAAATGCAAATATAGCAGTGCACTAGATGGAACAGCAATAATTCCTTGAGTAATCTTACTATTTCAATCTAAATTCAATCTATAAAAATATAGAGCGTGCAAAATAGATCTATTTCTAAAACTCAAAAAGCCAGAAAATTGCTAACAAAGCTCCATTGTCACTTAAACTACACCCATTTTGATGATGTTATCATTGGTTCCTTTCTTTAAAGAGGTGGTGATTTTTAACCAATCAAAACAACCTTTTTAATACAATAGGGGTTGCCAATACTCATATAATATTCACGAATTTCTTGCTTGTGTCTATTTACAACACAATTGTAAAGCTCACTAGCAGTGTGTTGATTGGAAGGTTTGAAAATCATGTGAAAACATTAATAGCTAGTCCAAAATACATGGTTTGCCTGCTAAAGTGAAACAAGGTAGAAATATGTAATATTTTTGGCATTGTTTATGAGACTGAAGCTCCTAATGATTTTTTAAAAAGAGTTCAACTGTCATACGAATGTGTATAAGATATGCATCAGTGGATTGACCCAATAAAATACGTACTTGTCTCCGACTGTGCCGCGTGGTTTCCACATCTGACTGTGATTCTCCCAATGTAAATAATTCATATTGATATAGGTATAGTGGTCTTCTTGATCTTTTAGTTTACTTTCCATTGATCCATTAGATACTACAATACACAATACAATATTTCTGTGAAGAATTATAAAATGGAATAGCATCAGTATTTTTTTTATACAACACAATGTAAACAATGTTGAGTAATACCTATTATTTTAACCATCAGTAAACAACTCTAACATGGTAAAATGTGGTACAAACCTGGTACTTCATCTATAGATATCAGAGCTATTCCTGGCTGAGGTAGACTCATTATCTTTCCTATAGTCTGAAATATAAAACATAGGAGAGGCTGAAGCTCAGAATGTTACAGTGTTTGAAGTTTCCAATTTTTGGTTCTGAGAATAAATAAACCAAGTACTAAAGATTCGAAACGCAAAATGAAACCCGAAATCTGTAGCAGCATTTTCACGAAACATTGGTAGCAGCTAATGAATTTTTCACATGAGGAAGTATATCAATCATAAGGGAGTAAGTATTTCATAATGAAAAGAGACATTTGGGTCATTTCCATTTTCTGCTGTCTGAAAGTGTGGTAACCATGAATACACAGTCTCTTCCACTGAAGGTAAAAAGTTGTAAAATATCTATTTACAAAGGAATATTGCTATACAGTTCAGAAGATTTATAGAGTCAGAAAACACCACAAAAATTGGTCTAAGTATTTTGAGTCACTGCAGCAAGACACAAAAAAAATAGAAATTATAATGAAGTTATTGGACATTACCTGTGGTCCCAGTAAAATCTCATCCCCAAGTTCTACAGATAAAAAACAATACAATGATTATTTTGAAACAATTTCAATAGAACTACAGAAATGAAAGGTTATTTAGTAATTCAGGGGCTTAAAGGACCAGTATGCAAATTTTCAATATAAACATGAAAGAAGTACGCTAGTTGTTTAGTTACCGTTCTACCGACGATAAACCCGATTCTACTGATTTTTTGTTTTGTTTCCTAACCAAAGGCCTAACCTATAGATTTGTTAATTTTTACTGTGTCATGTAGGACTATAATAGGCCTATGATAAATAATTAATTTACATAGCTTAAGGCATATCAACAAAAACAAAGAAAAGGAAAAGCACTTTGGAGCTTAAAAATCTCAAATTTACCGACTTTTCAACCATTCTCCAGATTTTTTTTCCTGACCTATTCACATGTATGTTTAAACTAGTTTTGGTGCTGGGCCTTACAACAGCTTGATATATCATGTAAAACCTTCACAATAAGCAGAAACATATTTGGCATGTAATTTGCTTTATTGCTTTTTTGCTCTGTACATTAGTTTTCCAACACCAACCAAAAACAAGTTTTGGCATCATAAAAGCTAAGAGGAAACTTGTACTGCTGCCTACCTGCTATAGGTTGATTAGGATCTTGTTTAATATTACTATGTTCTGGACTGGGTAGACCTTTCATTAGATAGTCACTATTATAAAGAGCTAGATTTACTTCTTTTATAGGTAACGCTTTCATTTTCTACAACAACCAAAATACACCTTGTTATTTACAAGTTTAAACAATGAGTCAACCAGTGGGGTTGAAGGTTGGTTACGACCATATTTTTTCAAGATAGTTTGCCAGGCAAGGTAATATATGCCCACTGGCATTTCATGTGGGTCTACAAAAATAGGTAACAATAGTATGATTTTTCAGCAATTTAAATTTTTTAATTTAACCATGTAAACCAGTTTGCCAAAATCAAATCTGGTATACTCAAAAACAACACATACAAAATATAAACATACAAGGTAATAATAATAATGAGAACAATATTAATACTAATTAATGTGGCCCTTCAGATAGCTCTGACTTCAGCTTCATTTTAAACAGAGCAAGTGATGAGTATTTGAGAAGTAAAGAAATATCAAAACAGAACCTGAAACATGTCGTTACTCAGGGTGGCAGATTAAGATCGAACAGAGAGAAACTCTGTTTTAATATTTCAATATCACTCTACAATTGATGTTTTGAGTAGGCCCTAGTATTTTAACAGTAAAAATATCTGAAAGAAACAGTAAAGAAAGTTATTGTATTATTATATAGTAGAATAGATAACTTACACTGATTATAACATCTGATTCTATAGATCTAGGAGTAGAATTAGATAAATTCATCATATTAGTTTCTACTTTCGTTAGTATTATTTCACTTAACTCTTCACATATACTCTTTCTATCTCTCTACAATAGAGAATATCATTTCAATTTTGATTGGATTACGGTCTTATTTGGTACACTCATGTATTCTGATGACTGTATCTAAATTGAATTCAAATCTCATGATATTGATTTGAATTTGCCGAACTCTGTGTGCTCATCTATGCTAATGACCAAACCAGCAACATTATGACAAATCAAAGCAGTATCATTTAAAACTTCATACTAAACAGAATTGTGACAAAATAAACTTACCCCTTGTAAAGTACCAAGATGTAAATTTTGAGTTAAAATCATACTGATATCACTATCTCCTGTAGCTATTGTCAATATATTGATTATACCTGGTAAAATATTAAACAAATCACATGATGACAAGGACCTAATGCAGTGTACAATGAGGGAAATTTTTTGCAAGACACCAGCTTGAATAACCTCATATTATTCAATTTACTGTGCATGGCCTATAGCACATTAGACTCATTTATTGTCACAAGACCTTCCTAGCTACAGAAAGGAAATCAGGTTTTATCTTGACGCCTAGGTTTGCAAATAAGCGCTTTACTCCTGGAAACACTGCCACAGTCTAGATAAAGAGGATTTTGAGGATCTTGGACCAGTGATTATAGCATATGAAATGAGTTGCCAGGCAAGGCAATACACCAATACTGATGTGGATAACGAAAAAAAAATTAAAAACAATTTACAACAGAATGATATCTCTTACCCATGTCTTTCTCAACATAATCAAATAGATCAGGTACAATACACAACAACTGTGTCATTTCAGCTGCCAGTAGACTTCTATATTCCTTATGTCTGAAATTATATCAGTCAATCTTTTAGTTTACCATCAATATCTAGTGAAAGGGCTGGGAATTTACTGTATATGTAATCAAGACAGTTTTATATTCTAAGTATCATCAGTATAGAAAGACAGACATCAAGTGTTCACAGCATGCCCTGCCTCAAAAAAAAATTAATTGAAAGGAGTTTCATGTCCTACTCTAATGTAGACCGCTATGCAATGTACATAGATGAAAATTTTGCCAGCACAGTGGCAAAGCCTCTTTTTTTTTTCCGATTTCGAACTGTCAAGGGATCTTTAAAAGCCTATAGGAACCTTGCTTTATTGTCCCATCTGAACGACTAGATGCTTTTTCCATGTCAGATCCTCCTAACTGCATCATTGAGGGAAAACAGGTTGAAAAATCCAAAGGTTTTATCTGGGACTTTCAGGTTAGTAAGCAAGCGTCCAACTCAAAGAGTCACACTTATCATTTAGTTAACATATAGCCTACTTACAGTGCATGATATTTATTAGGTTTTTGAGTGTCCACAGTTTTTGACTGACTGATTTTGGTGAGTTCACATATCGTATAAAATAAACATAGATATAACTTGTCATATAAACCTCCATTCTACAAATAAAAACAGGCATTTTAAGGTTGATCTAAAGGTCACAGGCCCAGTCTAAGATAATTGCTTAATAATACTTGGTCTAACATCAGAATTAGTGATTAACTAAAAAACTGACTGAGCACTAAAATCATTTTAAAGTAAGTTTTTCTGAAACATGTATAGATTTTATAGTGTGAGCAAGTTTAAAACGACTGATTGACAATTTATGTTCATATAAATAAATGTATCAGTTCATTTTCAGCTGGGATCAAAATATTACTTCATATGAATCTTTTACTTTTAATATACTATATGCCAAACCTCTGATAGTCCATCCCCATCTTCATTAGCCCACAAGGTGCAGAAGGGTAGGACGTAAAACTCCATTCATTTCATTTCTGATAGTCCATCAAGAATAACAGGTATGCTATCCTCTTCCTCAATATTACTGTTATCATCAATGAGGCTAATACAATCCATAAAATCTGAAAATCTAAGATGTAAGCTTACTAAGTCAATGTAAAAAGAACCAGCCTTACTTCTTTAATATCTTTATCTATTTTAACAGCTGATAACAATACAGATACAACTTTACATCTAATATCTCGTGGTAAGAAAAATAGATCCATTGTGTGTACCTTCCTATAATATATATTAATATAGAATTACCTATAACATGGTACAAAATAGAAAATAACATTTTATCCTTGCAATATTTCCATCCAAATTGACTTCAATATGTACTAATACACTTATATTCTTTACACCTTGTGTCCTAATTTCCTATGATAGACAGAAATTCTCATCATTTCTTTCACTTTTTTCTTGAAATAACACAGATCTTCAGAAAAAAATCTTGATCTTCACCATGTCGATAAAAACTGTTAGAAAAAAAAATCTGATAGACTTTTCAACAACAGAAATAATTAGTCGTTAACAAATCCACCTTGCAAAAATGTAAGGAAGTGAACATGCAATAGAATCAATATCTACCCCATTTTCTGTAGTTGAGCAACTTCTAAAGTTTCTTGAACAAGGTGTGTTGGAAGAATGAATTCCAAAGAGGCCTGTAAAATAAAACATATTTCCTGTAGATTGATAGAAACTTCACTGCCTCTCCATTCCACCTGTTTTAGTCTGGCATGTGAATTGTTAAAACATTGGGTTTTTGGTCAACAATTTTTAACAAAGATTGTCCATCCTCAACCATTCAACATATAATTTCATATGAACTCTTTGGTCATGGTTATTCTGTTGAATAATTTCCATTGTGTGTGGCTTGAACACATAAAATATTTTTGGTTTTCAACAGACAAAACTCGATCATCAGCACCTGGCTGTAATGAAATAAATAAAATTTCCACTCACCACCAGAATGATAAGGAGCATGTTACATTTTTCTCTTTCTTCATTTCTTACAGTTAATAATTCTTCTACAAAATCTTTCTTATGTTTCAATATCCCATATTTCCTATAATAGATATCAATACACTGTCAATCATAGTCTCATGAATATGCATCAGAAAGTGGGAAGGGTTATGCAGAGATGATTGTGTAGATTATAATATAATCTTCAGAAATTCAAGGTTACGAATATCATAAATATAATTGGTGGGGTTGAGAATTTCACTGATTAATTGTGTAAATTACCTAGCTCTAGTGTCAATCATCATCGTTATGAATATTCATATAACAGAAAATACATATAACAAATAAACGTACAAATTTTATTATTTCAGTCATGAATATGCATGTAACAGAGTAGGTTCACCCTATACTGTCAGTAGATTCTTGTCAAAAACAAACATCTGATCTGGTTTGTCAGTCCAGAAAAACAGCCAAATCAACAGTCCTGGTAGGTTGATAGACACTTCTTAGAGGGGTAAACTTCTAAAGCCGAAGAAGACCCTACAGTAGAATAAGTAAATTTCAAAGTTACCTTTTTGTAGCTTTTTGTGTAACAGTCATGTCTTCTTGTAAATTATAGGCCAGATATAATAATCTTTTCTTATCCATTTCTAGAAAACACAGATTAAAAAGTGAAGTTGCGGGAAATTTATTCTACCAAAGGACTAAACTATAAACTATCCATGAAAAGAATAAAGATAGAGTAAAAATATGAAACTGAAAATGAATTCATATGTACCTATATTATGGACAGCAGAGACTGGAAATTTGGTTAAAACACTGGCAGCCTGAAATGATAATAAAGAAAGTTTATCTATCAAAATAAAAAATAAAATTTATCTATTAATTGTAATCTTAATTAGATTGGCTCTAAATAAAATCTATTAAAACCATTAAACAGAATTATATACAATGAAATATCTATTGTCTTACCTTCTGTCCAAACAGTCCAGTAAGTTCTATATTTTTCATTGCACTCGTTATAAACCAGTCTCGTGTTAATTTACGTCTCTACAATTACAATCATAAGATACATTATAATCCTGGATAATGACACCATGATATAATGATACATCTTGTGATACAAGGGCTATGAGTTAAGATATAGAGCAGTAAAAAATTATTTCTATATAAAATTTTCTTTGTTTGTGTTTGTTATTTGAAAAATATAAAAACACAAATAGTCCACCTTATTTTTTGGTAGTTAAGTAGTAATCAAAAAGTTATAATACATGTCTTTCTTTATGAACTACGCATTCAATCTCAAAATAATGTGTAATCTATTGAATTAGATCCTGATGAGCACAAATAATTTGCTATAAAATGACTATAAAATATTAACAATGGTCTCCTTAATAAAATGCGAACAACAAAAATACGAAGGAGTGAATGTCATAGAACTGGGTAACAGTGACCTGTCAAACATGTAAAATAAAAATATAACATACCACAGGATGTTCTGATAGAGCTGAATCTTGGAAGAAATTCTTCACTTGGATTCTTTCAGCAGCTGGAAAATATCAATGTATTTCGTATTATATAAAGTACAGTGGACCACAGGCATATGTGGCTACTATAAAATGCAATACTACAAAAGGGAGTTGGACCACAAGCATATTATGTCGCCAATAAAAAGCGAAAGTGTTTAAGAGCAAGGGAAATAACTCTAAGTAAGTTAAATCACAAAATACCAAAATTTGAATGATACTTTCAGATTTTACATGAAGACAACCAATGTCAGATTACAAGAGAGGACCAAAACAACAACAATTCTTCATATTTTACATGTATAAGCATACACACAAGCATTCTGTAAATTGTATCAAAGAGACATTAGGTCTTCAATGGATAAATTTGGTTAATAGGAGGGGTCAGCTAAGACTAAGTCAAAAATAAAATGGACACAGAGTTGGGTAGGAAAGATGGAACTATAAACTGTAAGAGTTTGAGCATCATGTGATACACAAATATACATCAAAGACTTAGTTGCCAATCTTTTGTATTGGTGAGTGGCAAAAATGGTGGCATGAATCAAATAGAAAATAGGGAAACTTACAAGTTACTATTCTACCATCTAACATCCAAACATTAGGTAAACAATCTATAACATGGATTCTATCTATTCAAATTAAAATTAACAACAAACTTAATAGGGCTAAATAGAGATAATAACTTAAGTTCAGCAGATAACATCTTGGTATTGAACCCAGCTTAATGGTTCAACTGGCATAATAAGGAAATCTGACTTAATTGATGTTTGGATCTTCTTGGATAAGAATGAAATCTTCAACTTCCTAATATACCTTTAGATATACACACAAGAACAAGTACTACTTGTCAAACTCCAGTAGGGGCATCGATTATCTTAGACCTCACACTGCAAAACTCTGTGAACAAGGTTCGGTTTTAATATTTCTATGGACAAATCCAACAGGGGAGACCAAGGTAAAGAAACAAAAAGGAAGAGGTATAGTTGGGGCAATCTACAAACATTTAAAGCAAACTTACAATATTGGTCTTTTTCTAATTGTGGGTTGCCATGGAGACTAAGATTAAGGATATGAATGTGTCGTATTTTAACTAATTCCTTCCAAGATAAATCATTGTTCGATAAAATCAATTCTCCAAAACATAAAAATCTTGACAGTCCGTCTAAACATTGCAGCTGAAAGATAAACAGGATTAACAAATGTTAGGTTGTGTTGGGCAAAATATATGTCTAAAAAACAAATATAAAATAGAAAGGTAGCCATTGAGCTAATTTTAATTATGACATCTCCTAAGGGAAAGGTGACAGGAAACGCATCAGCCATAAAAATTTACCGTGGCATTTACCTTTAAATCCTGGCCATGTACCTAAAAAAACTTGAGTTTGGTCTTTCTCAACATCAAAGCCTTATAGTAATTTTTTTTAAAGGAACTTTGCCCTGATCTCCAGATATAAAGATATTGATCAGTTAATCCCTATTGATCTGTTATCAATAAAATCAATCAAATCTGATTATTGATCACCTGTCTATATCTCTAGACATGAAGTCTCATTGTATTTTCAGATGAAAAAAAAACCTATAATCAATTTCCTAAAAAATCCACTAAAAGTTAACCAGGACTGTAGCTTTATTTTTCACGACTTGCTAAATGGTTGCCTCCTGACCACTGCCTCTTAACCACTGTGTGATATACAGAGATCTTTCTATGAATTGAACTCCTCAAGTCGTAGATCAGTATAAGCTTATTTATTTAGTAGGGGGAAAGAAACTAAAGATTCATCACTTAACAATTCCAGATAATGTCTTGTCTCAGATCACTGGAAATGACATTTATGAGCTTCTTATTCTCCAAAATTCCTAATTTCCCTCTGATGCCAACCTATCTAGATGGATAACAAAAGAATACAGACCTTGTTACAACTGAGATTGACAGACCATAAATTAGGTGAATATTGTAGATTATTTACATCTTGTAAATTGTTACCATGGAGATTTAAATATTGTACTTTTTTACATGAACCAAGTCTTTCTACCTCAACTGGAATAAAAATCAAAATATTTTACACAAGTTTTCTTTGAAAAATTGCACTAAAATATAAGGGATGCAGTCTAAATATTTTGAAATTCTAACCATACTTTGTCATTTACTAAATGCAAATCAAATTATTACTATAATGATAGGTAACTGGAATAGTTCTCTACTAGCTGATGATTACATCTTAATGCATTTTCAAATATGTATCCACAGTTAAACAAACATGTAGATGCAGAGGTTAGAATGAGTTGAGTCACTCACTGATTCTATCTTGATGGGTGTTAAGCACAGAGAAGAAAGGCAATTATTATCAAATAAGTGATAAACTAGAATAAATTGTACATACCCAGGCTAAGATTAGACAAATCTAGATATTCTAATGAAGGCAGAGGACCTGTCGCCCTTTCACGAATTATCTACAACAACAAAATCTTTAAATTAATAATAGAACCAATAGCCGACAGTTGAATCAATACTTGCTGACTGTCTAATTCTGCTTGTTTATGTTGACAGTTGTTGGCCCTTGTCCTTAACAATGTGTGGCTTGAAGAATTTGAGTGTCGGTTCGAATTGGTGAAGCGAGCAAACTTCTCGCACCCCAACACTAAGGGTCCACGGGCCTGCATAAAAGTCATATGATTCGTCTTGTATTAACTCACAATATTTGTGCAAGTAGACGAACTGTCATTTTCATGTCAGTGACAATTTACTGAGTAGGCTACTGTGTACTGCCACCTTGCACTGGCCACTGTGGCTTGTCATCTATGTTTGCCATGTACAGTAGTTGTGTGCTTGCTAGAAACTTGTTGATTTTACCAAACTATTGGGTATCAATATTTGAAATAACTTGCTTGTACCCCATATTACCAAAAAACGACAAATGCCTGTCAGTAGTGTCAATATCGCCATCGGGCTTGGCTACTCTTCCAGTCTCGGCCTCACAGAAGATTTTTCTATTATTCTATAACGCTATAATTTTGAACAATAAATTTGAATGAAATATTCAAACCTGGCTAGTTAATCTCATTTTATCTTCATCTATTCATTCTTTTAACTTTCTGAAGTTTCGACAACTTTTCCTCGATCACAACCGAATCACTAGCCTTCTAACTACTTCCGTAAACAATATGTCAGTCCTCAAAACAAAATAGTTCAATCTGATCAACATGGCTTATGGCTGGCTTATTTCTTACAGAAGCCAATAAAAATTGTTCATGAAGGATTTAGAATGATAACTTTACTGTCTTTTTGGTGCTAACTTTACTTAATTAGTGTTATTAAGTGGGTATGAAGACACAATTTCATCGTATAAGGAAAATAGTTCATCCACAGGCGTTCGCTCAATGGCCTTCACTTGAATAATTCAAATAGAAACACTGACGTTGAGTAGGTCTACAATCAAATATTAACCAACTGTTAGAGCTTTTGTATGTGATGACATACATTTTTGCGTAGTATATTAATGATTTATATCTACTTTTTATTCTTTAGAAAAAACTGCCTTCTCCATTTTTGTATTGTTACACAATACTAAGCAAACTTTGGGCCATTAAATCGTCTGTTCATGTATTATCCCCAGTATGACCGACTATTTATAGAAAGAGCGAGACCGGGAGTTCCTAGGCAATGTACATGTATTGGCTATAATTTTGATGGATTCTGTAGAACAATCTGTTAGAGAGTTGTAAACTTCACATGACGTCATTTGCTTGATGAATGGAACAAATGGTGATCTTGGTCGGGGTTTGAAATTCTGGTGACCAGAATAATTCATTTCATCATTCCAGTCGACCCATCCGTAAATGGAGTGCTCTGACTGATAATGGCGGAACGGAAAAGAAGGGAAGTCGATTCTCAACTTACCTCAAATTCGTTGGATTTTCTCTCAGCGATGAGGATATTTTTCAAAGAATCGTTCAAAAAAATCCCAAATCAATGCATCGTGTATGGTATCATCATTGATATCTTATTGACGAGGACCATCAGAACACCCTGGCTCCCATCTTCGATTTTAGAAGGCATAAGTCATGGTAGGGGAGATTCAAGAAAATGTTCTAATCTGGGTTGGCGAAGAATATATCTAACGCGATTTTAAGCCACTAGGTATCATTGCAACAAGGGTTATCGCATCGCCACGCACCCACCCACTGACGATTCTGAAAAGCCAACGGGCAATAATCCACAACAGATTATCGTTGTATAACATTTTATTAGCACACTTTATATCACATTCCTTAATAAATAATCCCCAATTTTAGGATACGTTCACATATGGGTGGTTTTCAACCTTGAGATGCATTTGTCTAATAAATGTTGATTTGGCATGGATATTTGTCCGCTTCCATATCTAAAAAGTCCACACAAAATAAAGTCAACTTATTTACAATTCTAACAGTATCCCTATCGGCAGAGAGTCTACAAAGCTAATGATGTTACATTTGAAATTAGATCTTTTCGCCGTCTTTTTCGGAGAGTTCACGTAGCTAATAATACTGTTATCTTTTGATAATATATTCATTATTTTGTCAACGGCTTTTCGGAGAGACCACACTAATAATAATTCGATATGTGGAAAGCCTGCAGCAGTATAGCCTGTGGCGGCGCCAGCCTCCCAAGACTGGGGGTACAAACAGGGGGCAGACTGACTTAATGGGGGGATAACTGTCAAGGATGAGATTCAAAATGCGACAGCTCATAAGCGCATTATAGCAAGAGCCCCCAATTGAGCATCTGAGAGGGTTCACCCCAATACGAGTTTGGAAAATAGTATTTCTTTCGTGCTTTGTAACACATATTTTGGGGAAAAACGTTAGTCATGTTTCTAGATTTGTTAGAAATGAAATAGGGGCGCAATTGGGGGTACAAACCACTTTTCTAGGGGGCATTCCTAACTCAGGCAACGCTGATGGCTGGATTGACGGCCGCGTAATTTGGCAAAGGTTCTCCGTTTTTGTCTTTTACAGTATCTAGACTTTTGTTCATGTTTTCCTCGTAATCTAAGGTACCACGTTTTAAATAATAATGTTTTGCTACCATACATAATATAAACATCTCCAATGTAATTAACAGATGGTGTATCACTGAAAATAAACAGAAAAATGTTACAGTGAGATCATCCGACAGTGTTGAATTTTGGCCTCGCCAATCTTGCCGTTGAGCTACCGACCTTAAACTCACTGGAAATTTCAGAGAGTACCTTTCTGTTAGTATCAGGTCGATAGTTCAACAACAAGAGTGCCCTATAAGAGCGATGTCTACGCGAAAAGCTGAACGTTATACTTGCAAACAGTGCACCTGTCGTTTCAGATAAGGAAATTATAAGACAAATAAATGATGTCGCATAAGGTCAACTTCATCCGATTGTATCGTGATCAACTGATAACTGGTACCATGCTTGGCATATTGGTAGTTTATTCTGGCAAATAAGGGGACCTGTTACTCTCTAATTGCTAATCAGCTTGTACCAGGTACCATGTAGTACCGTAGCAATTTTCCCCTCTTTATGTGGGTTTATGGGCTTGTCATCTCTTCACTCTTCCATCTCTTTTATATGAGACACCCTTACCCACACCTCGACCCCAGATTCCCTATATTGAGACGTCCTTACCCACACCTCAACCCCAGACCAGACTCCCTATATTGAGACATCCTTACCTCAACCCCACACTAGACTCCCTATATTGAGACATCCTGACCCACACCTCAACCCCAGACTCCCTATATTGAGACATCCTTACCCACACCTCAACCCCAGATTCCCTATATTGAGACATCCTGACCCACACCTCAACCCCAGGCTCCCTATATTGAGACATCCTGACCCACACCTCAACCCCAGACTAGACTCCCTATATTGAGACATCCTTACCCACACCTCGACCCCAGATTCCCAATATTGAGACATCCTTACCCACACCTCAACTCCAGACTCCCTATATTGAGACATCCTTACCCATACCTCAACCCCAGACTAGACTCCTTATATTGAGACATCCTGACTCACACCTCAACCCAAGACTAGACTCCCTATATTGAGACATCCTTACCCACACCTCAACCCCAGACTAGACTCCTTATATTGAGACATCCTGACTCACACCTCAAACCAAGACTAGACTCCCTATATTGAGACATCCTTACCCACACCTCGACCCCAGATTCCCTATATTGAGACATCCTTTCCCACACCTCGACCCCAGCCTACATCTTTACCCACATATCCACACTTTCCCATGGCTTTTTGGGATATACTTACCATTACTGCGCACCCTAGAAGAAAGCGAGTCATCACAGTGAGGTAGATTATATGAAGCCAATGTACTGAATATCACAGTCTGTAGATTTAGACAAATGAGGGCCAGCTGTAGACAGAAAAACTTGGGTAAGAGATGAAAAGATTTTAAATCCTGTCGTGAAGCTCGGAATATCAGTATCAGTCCATACATAGCAATCAATGTGGACGCACCATTAACTAACGCTACATACGTTCCTGGATTATTAAATGAAAACTGAAATAGAAAAAGGGTATTTTTGATTTTCGTGCATTTTGCAAGCACCACAGAAGCAAACTGAAAAGGTCCTTAGATCGATAACGCTACTGGCCTAATCTGACAACTACTGGATTATCAACGTTCTTGGCCATTCCTTGCAGCATTTGATATCATTGTCGGATTG